GGTCTCGGCGGATACGCGGTGAGAATATATGTAGATTTAATCAACATTTATGTATACACACACATACACACAGCTGCGCATATGCATACATACATTCATACATTCATTCATAAGCATGAAAGCAGGTTCGCATGCACGGACGCACAGACAAACACAAACAAATACACACTTACACACACAAACGAACACACGCACGCACACACACACACACACATACGCAGACACACACACACACACACACACACATAGACACACACACACACACACACACACACACACACACATACACACACACACACACACACACGCACACTCACACACTTGCACAAACAAACACACACTATTTAACAAACATATACAGACACACATAATACGTACACAAATACGTACACACATAAAAATCACACATCAATATATTCATAATACATACACCTCCCTTTCTTTAGATTTCTAAAAAAAATTATGAATTCTTTATTTCGAAATGAATAGATAAATAGATGAAGCACAAAACAACAAAACAGATAAATGAATAACATAGATAAAAGAAGTGTGTCAACCATAAGAAATCAGAATAAGTAAATGATAATGATAATAATAGTAATAATAATAATAAAAATGATAATGATTATGATGATAATAATAGAAGTAATAATAATAATAGTAATAGTATTAGTAATAATAATAATAACAACAACAACAACAACAACAACAACAACAACAACAACAACAACAACAATAATAATAATAATAATAATATTAATAATAAGAATAGTAATGATAATAATGATAATAATAATAATTATTGTTATTATTATCATAATAATAATAACAATAATAATAATAATAATAATAATAATTATAATAATAATAATAATGACAATAATAATAGTAACAGTAGTAGTAATAACAATAATAATAATAACAATAATAATAATAATAATAATAATAATAATAATAATAATGATAAAGATAATCTATTCCCATGTTCGCAGAGAATCGTACACCTCTACGCCGACAACTCACACCCTCGTAAGAACAGAAGAAGAACAGGAAACGTCTGTGAACGAAGCAGAACAACCAGAACCCATAGACGCTTTGAAAGAACATATTACAGACACAGAGGAACTTTCCGTCACCACGAAGCGTCCTCTGAAGAAAATTTTGTTCTGGAATGACGTGAGTTTTGGGAAATTTTCCTCGTCTTGGGTTAATGTTCTGCGTTGCTTTGTCCTGTTGTTGTTGTAAAATGTGAGGAGTGTTGTTTACTGTTGTAGTTGTATTGAGTGTTGTTTATGTAGGTAGGTAGGGTGTTGGCTCCGAATTTTGTTCTTCATGCCCGTGCTTGTTTCTGCTATTCTCTCGTTTGTGTCTCTAATTTTCGGTCTGTTTCTCTGGTTCTCGGTCTGTTCTCTCTCTCTCTCTCTCTCTCTCTCTCTCTCTCTCTCTCTCTCTCTCTCTCTCTCTCTCTCGTACTCTTTGATCATTATTCCCATACCATGTAGTAGTATTCTGGTTATATATTTTCGTTCCAACTGAGTTATCGTTGTTTGCCAATATGATCGACCCGGCAACACGTATAAAACATGTCAAAACAGCTGCCCCAGAACGTTTTAAACTCATGTGCTACCTCCTAATAAGCTATACTACCGTTGTAGTAATAGTATTATCATCTAAGGCTAACCGGTTATTCATACTGTAGCTGTGGGTAGTGGGTATGTATGGCTAAATATCGTAATGACAAACTGTATTTTGTAAATATGGTGGTGATTAAAATTTCCTCAAAACACAGCGCGTAAATGATTTTTTTTAGGTAACTGTGCCATTGGTTGATAGGTAGTATTATAAATATTGAAATGATATTTGGAAAGGTATTCAAGTAACACGAATGATGTTTGCAATAATGATTTTGAAACTACAGATAGTAATGATACTTGGAATAACACATCAGATATTATTCAATATAGAATCACCATTTCCTTGTACAATAAATACAATCATCACAGTACCATACCAGCGTATATATATTATTCACTATACATACCTTTGAAGATTTTTGCAATAATGGACTTGATTTAAATTTCTTACTGTTTATGAAATGTCAAGTCGGCCTATTTCAGCAGAGAAACACGTCAGTTTGAAATTATGTTAAACAGAGAATCTTTACTGCTAATCCCCCCCCCAAAAAAAAAGCAACATAAAAAACAATAACAAAACAAACACACTACCAACAACAACAACAAACGAAAACAAACACCGTCAAAACGACGCCCACGAGAACCCATATCAAAATAAGAAATAAAAACACATAGGAACTAGCATGACCCATCTTCATGTTTAATTCAAAGCTCATAAAATAAAATCCCACGCGACGGTTCTCGAGATCCTGGGCGTAGTCACACACACACACACACACACACACACACACACACACACACACACACACACACACACACACACACACACACACACACACACATATACACACACGACTTATGCTTTGCTCATGACGTACACACGCTCATGGAAATGCAAGGTCAAGAAATGTGCACATGCTACCTCGCACGCCTCGTGCGTGACGTATGTGTACATGACATAAATGCAAATGACACTTGACTGAAATAAATCTTCGCTTATGGCATGACTCATGACAGTTCACAAACCGGAAGGAATACTCAAAGAACATCGCGTATGACAATGACAGAAAGAGACATACACACATCCAGAAATACACACAGCCCATTGCACATGACAGTGTAATTCCAAAGCAATCTATGAAATGCAACTTCTCTCTGTAGGCCTATCGAAAGAATCACTTTCCTCCTCTAGGCCTATGGAGAATCTAGAATTATCGATAAAAACACTTTCTCTGTCGCTGCGGCCTCGCCCTTTTTATTTGGAGTTGGTTACTGAATGAATACATCTATGAATTCTGGAGAAAAACCATGGTTGTTGTTGCTTCCTTTATTCTCCATAACTGATGAATACAGTTTCTACATCTTCCATATCCGTAATCATACGTAAAACTGAAAACAAAACAATTTGGAACGTAACAACTGTGGCCACGTGGTCTTATATACTATTAAATTCGTAATAATTCACACAATTAAAGGACATTATTGAATGCTGACAAACTTATACAACATAAAATCATAATAATAGGATGGATAAACTAGTACAAAGAATGTAATTTACCTTCAAACCCGTACGATAGGGCCTGGTGCTGTTTAGGCGACCACAGCTGCCGTTGAAGTAAACAACCGAGTTCCAATACCCGTGTATGTATGCGACTTTGGCACATAGTCTTTTAAAACATTGTTATTCATCTTTACTTTCTTAACTGGGCTGTTACACTTACATTCTCTCTTTAGGAATATTAGATAAGAACTTTCTCTCTTCTTCCCAGGCCTATGAGACCATCTCTTTCTTTATGTAGTGTCGCTGCGGCCTCGCCCTTTTTACTTTGGAGTTGGTTTACTGCATGAATACATCTATGGATTCTGGAGAAAAACCATGGTTGTTGTTGCTTCCTTTATTCTCCATAACTGATGAATACAGTTTCTACATCTTCCATATCCGTAATCATACGTAAAACTGAAAACAAAATAATTTGGAACGTAACAACTGTGGCCACGTGGTCATATACTATTAAATTCGTAATAGTTCACACAATTAACACAATTAAAGCACATTATTGAATGCTAACAAACTTAAACAACATAAAATCATAATAATTTGATGGATAAACTATTACAAAGAATGTAATTTACCTCCAAACCCCTACAATAGGGCCTGGTGCTGTTTAGGCGACCACAGCTGCCGTTGAAGTAAACAACCGAGTTCCAATACCCGTCTATGTATGCGACTTTGGCACATAGTCTTTTAAAACATTTTTATTCATCTTTACTTTCTTAACTGGGCTGCTACACTTACATGTAGGCCTATCGAGATAAGCACTTTCTACCTATAGGTCTCTCTAGACAAGAACTTTCTGCCTTTCTTCCTCTAGTTCTATAAAGATAATAACTTTCTTCTACAATCTAGGCCTATAAGAATCTTTTCTCTAGGCCTATCAAGATAATTTCTTCCATAATCTAGGCTTATAAGAATATTTTTCCTTCCTCTAGGCCTATCAAGATAACTACTTTCTTTTACAATCTTTTTACATTTTTTTCTTCTTCCAGGCCTATCAAGATAATTTATTCTAGAATC